TATATATATATATATATATATATATTGAATGTTGACCCTCCTTAGTTCGAATGCCGTGCTGTTGTGTACACCCACGGAACCACACGCGGGTGGATCCCAGCCAAGCTAAACTCCCAGCTGTTTCTGTGGTTGCTTTCTACAGTGCTGACATAAAGGTTGAGGTGTACAGCAAGGATGGTGTGCTGTTGGGCTCTGAGTTGATTCCTATCGTGCTGAACAGCAGCGTAACACCAGGGACAAACAGTCCAACTGATACTGCAGCAGCAGAAGCCTTCAGCAGCTATGCGAAGGAGAGAGACCATCAAACACCGCTCTGTGCTGTTCAGCTTGGCTATACTGGGGACATTGAGAGTAAGGTGCTGTCACGCGGCTGCTGTTGGGTTTGTGATACTGGTTTCTCTCCTTTTTGCTGGTTTCACATTGTCTTCCTCGCCGATGTTGCTGCGTTGTTGTTGCTTCCTTTTGGCCTTTGTTTCACCCTTAGCCTCTGTCTCACCTCTTTCACAAGTGAATAAAAGTTACTGAAGTTGCACGACGGGGTAAGAGTCTATTTGCTATTGCGGTTTGCTCGTTTGTTGTGCAGGTGAGGGGTGGAGTGGAGTAAAAATTGCTGCAATTTCCCTTGCCTGCATTGCCGGCGTCTTGGTGTTAGCCATAGGAGGCTTTTTCCTTCATAAGAGACTGTAAGCTAATATGATCCCTCAAGCTGCTAACTGTTAACTGAAAGTCGCTGATTCGATCATAGCTTGCGATGCACTCTACCTACGGAGGTGTTTAAACTCCATAGACAGCTCAACTAGGTTATAAATCAAACTTGTAGAATGAAAATTAAAATAGTAGGATTTGCAACTGCATTACAGCAGATACTGTTAGCGTTTCACATGCTTTTACATATGTAGCCAGAATGTACTCTGCTTCTTCACTTTCTAGTATATTTACAAGGAGGCCGTATTCACGTTGTCTACTAATTGATGCTCGCAGTACTAGTACTAGTGTGTTTGTTTATTTGTTCTTGTGTGTTGCAGCACGGGACAGAGAGCAAGCGCCCCGAAACGTAACTCAGCACAAAGCGAGGGCAAGCGAGAAGAGAAGAAGGTTTCAGTTAGAGAGGGCTGGCAGTGATCAAGCAAATAGCGAAGATGCACACATAACGAAAAACTTGGAATACTTGGGTAGACCAATGCAGTTTTCTAGGTACACACAGGCCAAGAGTATTGATGCTGCAGCTGAATATAAAGTAGTGAATACAAATGTATAAAAATATAATCATGCTGCCACACAAGCCGAACGGCTACGCGGCAAACAGCTGATGTAGAGGTATCACAAGAACAAGGCAAAGAACCTTGATAAATAACTGTATCTGTCCAGTCTATCAACCAAGGAAACAGAAAGAGGCTGCACATCATTAAGATCGAAACAGGCAGGTAAACAACAGAGGTGCATAGAATGGAAGAGGAGCACAGCAACAAACTCTTTCTTGCATCATATTTTTTAGCAGCGGTCAGAGTGTTGGCCGCAAGTACATTTTTTTCATTCCCCATGCTTTTTTATAACTATTTCAAATGCTCCTCTCTTTTTAGTTGTTTCCGCCAATTCTTTTATGTGTTTTGTTTCATACATTTCTCCACACTCAACCTCATCGAGAGCGCCGCAGTGCGGCTTTTCTCACTTCATCATTTCATCATTTACTGAGAACCAAATTGTTTAATTTTATTCGAAATTCTCCAAGTAACGAAGACAGTATTTGTACGTCATCTCTTTTGTACCGGTTTCCTGCTTATTTTTAGATAACTGGAATACTTGCTTGACCTTCACAACTGTAAACATATCTGCGGCGCGCTCCGCAGCAGCCTCAGCACTCAACATGCGTGAAACGATACGCTTATATATGAAGGTTTCTGCAATTACTAGATATTGAGTTTCTTCGTTACGATTGCTAGCCCTGTAAGAGCAGCTATTGGATTTGTTAGATTCTGTTGTTGCTCGTATAACGCAGATATTCAAGATGCTCTTTCAGTTACAACCTACACTTACGCATTGCTCTCCATGTTTGCGATGCATTGCAATTTCAACCTGTTTCTATTTACTTTATCTTTTTCTGTTGTGGTGTAAGAACTTCAACTTGTTCTTACACCTTACGAGGGCATGGAGGCTACAAAATATAGGAAGCGTGACTTGTTGATTTCTACGTCTTCAGCTTTTAGAAACTTGAGCTGCAAAAGGGTCACAAGTTTTGAAACATCGTTGCCGCATTCGGTAACTCTGAACACAGCGCCGGTAAAAATCATGATTAAAGGGAAATTTATGTTGCAATATGAGGACCGACCCCTCATCCTGACCAGAGGGGCAAGGAAACGCTAGAGATGGCCTTCATGAACACTGAAGAAAGCCAGGAGGATTGGAGTAAAGAGCTCCCAGAACCCCATTTCCATCGCCCAGCCGAGGGCAGCTCATCTCACTCACCGCAGCTGGGTGGCTTGGCACGCGGAACTGATTAGTAGCGAAGACACTATCCAAATTTATTCACCACACATTATTTGTCGAAAGCTACTCCCCTTTCCTTTTTTCGCATAATGGAGGCTGATCAGGGTTTGTCCTCCAGTAAGGAGCCGCCCGACGACCGACGGTTGGGTGCTTCCTCGGAATAGAACAAGCGCAATATCCTCATCCAATTGAGAAGAATATTTTTTTTTAGCGAAAACAACTCATGAACAATGCTCCCTCTTTTGCCAACAGTCCAGACGAAACGCACGCCGCGATGCAGGCGCAGTTGAAACTCTGTGCGGCGGAACGCTAGAAAGCATAATCAGTCCACGCTTAGTCGTATGGCACAAGATACCGGCTTCTATGTTGTAGCGCTTAACGTGCCGCCCGTTGTTGAACTTAGCGAGCACCGCTGCAGCGTGAGTATCTAAGGAGTAATAAGAAAACAGTTTAGAAAGGAATCAGGAACCATCGCAGAAAGGCGTGGCTGCAGAACGCAGCGCCGGATACTGTGGGTTTCGGGAGAG